GAGAGGAAATCTAGGGGTAGGCCCTGCTGCCCTCAAAGCCAAAGGCTCAAGTCCCAGCTGACTTCAAACAGGAACAAGGACAAGCCTTCCCTGCACAGTAGGACTAATTCCTGCTCCAACCTGATAGGAATGAAACAGCAATTGAGGTATCCTCCCCTCCCCCTTCCCAGTATACCAGCTCCCTGTGGTGGGGGAAAGTAAAGGCTTCTCTTTCCGTGCCTCCGTCCCACTTGCCCCTCCGGCGTAAACAGACATGCTGAGCTGAGTAAAGCAAGGACTGGACCCTCTGTAGACTTCAGACAAGTCCTTAAGCGCCTGCGTTGCTGTATTCCCTGTTGAGCAAAGCCCTTCCCCGGGGATCTCTTTGGGGGCAGAGACGGCCGCTTTGTTCTGTATGTGTTTCGCTGGGTCGGGGCCGAAATGAGGAACGACCACTGCATTTCGCACTGCGTGAGAGAGAGGAACCACTTCGGCTCCCAAACCCCGTTCTGCGGGGGGGGGGAGCTGCGCCACGGCCCGCTGGGACATCCCGGGAGAACCCAGTGGCGCGATCGGTCTCTCGTCAAAGCCGAAGAGGGTACGTCTACACGGCCCTGGGTCTCCGAGCCTGGGTCAACGGACTTGGCTGGATCCCAGGCTCGGAGACCCAGTCCCCGAGACCCAGTCCCCTGGGTCCTTTATTGCAGCGTAGACAGACACTGAGAGTTTAGCCCTTGGGTCCAATGGATAATGCAATCGGCTGGGACTCAGGAGATCTGGGTTCCACCCCTGGCTCTGCCGGTGCCCTTGGGCAAATCGGTTCCCTTCCCACCCTTCTTGTGTATTTGGGATATGAGTTCTTCTGGGCAGGGGCTGATTCTCACTAAGGGTCTGTACAGCACCTAACACAACAGGGCCTCTCGGTGCTGCTGTAATAGACAGAATTACTTCTGTAGGAGCATGGGAGCAGGCCCCAGCCCTCTGCGAGCGCCAGTCCTCCACTAAGCCACGCCAGCCTGCGAACCTTGGCCTCTTGGGAACCAGAGGGAAAGGAGAAAGGGCCAGGCGGGGGGGAGGATAGAGCCAGAGGAGGGGACACGCTGAATGAGGGGGGTACAGAAAATACCTTTATTCCATGTCTACATGTTCAAATGCAACGGGGAAGAGAAGAACGCAAACCCCAGTGGGATCTGATCCCTTTGTACGTCTTGCCCTGGCCCCCTGCTCCGTTGGTACACTCATGCCTACGCAGCCCCTGCGTGAGGATCTTTCTGTACCCCATGCGCCTGTCGGTAGCCAGTGGGGAGAAGCAGCAGTGCGTCACGTTTGCACACGGCAGGTCGGGAAATAAAGGCCGCAGCTGCAGTTCCTGTCCCGATACCGTTTGTGACCAGCCAGGAGCCGGCGCGGATTGAGGGCCATGCACAGGCAGCGTGGATCAAAGAGGGGACCAAATGGGAACTCCAGGGCCAAACACACCCAGGCGTTGACTCTGGTTCTGTTTGCGCCAGAGCAGCCAATGCCCAGACCCTGGGTTCTGCAGTGCTAGCCTAGACTACCCTGCCTGTTCTCCTAGCCCGCAGCCCTCCGCCGGCTAACACGGGACGCTGTCACCAGTTCAGGAACCACAAATGTTCCTGGACCTCAGAGCCTCCTTCCCACTCACTGGTGTCTGAAGCCAAAACATCGGCTGAGCTCAATGAAAACGTCCCTCCAGGAAGGAGTCTGGTGTCCCGAGCGGGCCAGGCCAGATGCCACTAACGCCCGTGTAAGTCACGAGCGAGGTCAACGGCGCTAAACCCAGAGTCACCAGCTCAGAGCTGAGCCGGATTTCACCGGCTGCACCTCTCACCTTGCTTCCGCAGCAAAACGGGGGAGTTCGGTGGTTTGTGGAAGTCAACTCTCTCCGTTCTGCCCCCACAGCTTCCAGGTTGGCTGGCCTAAGTACGGGCTATGCTATAAAAAGCAGAGACGTGAAACGCCCACCCATCCCTGGGACCTAAATCTCTCGGTCCAGACTCGCTCCGGGCCCATTAGTTGGCCACAAACAGATGTGCAATCCAGCCCCGGATGTGCCCGGGGTGGCTCTGAACTGTATCCATATGGGGTTCACTGCTACGTGATAAAGGCAGGCAGATCCTTACACACATTGTAGCCAACAAGATTTCACTCTAGTTCCTCGGGACGGCAATCTCTGTCCTGTCCCCATCCCCCAAGAACCTTGCTTGGTCACAGCTTTTAGAACGTTACAGCCCAATTACGGTTCTCACACAGCACCCTAGGGGACTGGGTTATATTGACAAGAAAACGGGCCTGATTCGAATCTCGCGCTCCATCAGCGAGAATCAGGAGTAATTACACTTTACGTCACTGGGTAGAACCAGCATGAGGGCCTGGTTCCGCACGCACTTATTACCTGGAGTAGCCCCTACGACCAGGTGTAGCCCCACTGAAGTCAAAGGGCTGCCCTCACTGCTCTGCCA